AGCACCCCTGGGTGTGGACTCATCTGCAAAGGGGCCGTGGAGCACAGCTTGGAGGAAGGGGCCACAATCAAAGGCCATCATCTTCAGCTCGCCAGCGTCCCGGTCAACCAAGAGCTTGATGTCCTTGGTGCCGTCCTTCATGTCTCCAGCAGCAGGCCCACCTGGCACAGCTTCTCCAGAGGCCCCTTCTCCTTCCCTGTGGGCGAGACCAGGCTGTCAGCGTTCTGCTGAGGGCCCCAGCTGTCTGTGAGGTGGGACGAGCAAAGCCAGGTTAGATGGTGGCCACCAGCGCCTGGGAGACCAGCCAGGCTCTGCAGCCCAGCTCCAGCACAAAGAGGGGCATGTTCCCAGGGGATGATCCCCTCCTGGTGCTATGTGCAGGACAAAAAAGTTTGGTTTTCTTTGCTTCTTGTCGCCAAGAAATGTGTGGAGGTGTTACTTGCCAGGCCCCTGGATCAAACGGAGCACGTGGATCTCTCCCGTCTCCTAGGGCAGCTGAACACCCTGCACCCAAGGATGGCAGAATAGGTCTTCCAACAATGGCCTGTCCGAGGGGAGGGTGGACAAACAGCACGTGATAAGGTGCTGGCACCATGGGGGGAGAAACCAGAAATGGCTGGTCAGTTGGAGAAGGATCCTGTCCCCTTTGTCCCGCTGTCCACGTGCCCAGGCTGTGCTGGCTGTGCTCAGAGCTGTGCCCACACTTCCCGATCCATGCTCCATTTTGGAGGAGAGCAGGATGGCAGGACACAGGCCACCTCCTCCAGGCAACGCTGGGACAGAAACAGCTTCAAGAGCAGGATCCTCGTGAGCTCCCTGCCCTCTCCCAACACCGGTATTGTCCCCCGGCCACTAAGATTGGTATCCACCTCGAGAGACCCGTCGTGGGAACGGGAGCTGGCCCCAGATGGTGCTCCTGCCTTTCCAGAAAGGGTGCTGCCCGCAGACCATCTGGTAGAGCAGGATGCCCAGGGACCAGATTGTTGCTGCCTTGCCGTGGTAGCTTTTGAGCCAGATCCACTCTGGTGGGCTGTACAACGGTGTTCCTACGGAATACAGATGGAGTTCAGCAGGTGGGTGCTGCCTGCTCCCAGAGCCTCGCCCCAGCGTCCCTGGGAATGTGGGGCCTGCCCCAGAGGCACACGGTGTGACCCACTGCCTTCTCGCCGGCACCTGATTCGTTCCCCAACTCTGGCTTGTAGAAGAAGCCACTGGTGTCCAAGAGGGCAGTGGAAGCCCTGGGAAGGCCCAACCATTCCATGCAAGGGAAAAACCCACCCAGTGTGGGGAAAAGCCATGCTTTCTCCCTGTCCCACTGCACTGCCCCCAACAAGTAATCATAAGGCAAGACAAATAAGGCGAGCAGAGCAGCCCAAGCCCTTCCTTGCCTGCACCCCAAGCCAGCTGGTGCACAGGTTCTGACCCCCTTCTCTGCTGCCCTCAGGGGTGGTTTTGTCAGGCTGGCTCCCCCCCTGTCCCAGACCCAGGCCAGGACAGGGCAGGTGGCACAGGCTGTCGGCAAGGCTGGGACCTGTCTCACGATAACCCCCCAGCCCCGTCCAAAAGCAACTTGGCTGAAGAACTAATCCTGTTCCCCTTCAGCAAAAGGGGCAATCTGCAGTGCCACACCCGCGATGCCCGGGACCAGGAGAATCCCCCGGCTGTGGGCTCACCTGCAAGCTGGGTGTAGGCCGTGTCCTGAAGGAACGTGCCACATCCAAAGTCAATGAGCTTCGCCTCGCCGGTGGTCAGGTCGAGGACGATGTTCTGGGGCTTGATGTCCCGGTGCAGGATGCCGCAGCTGCTGCAGTGCCGCACGGCCTTCAGCACCTGGCGGAACAGCCCCCACGCCATCTCCTCCGGCAGGAACCTCCACGCTGTGATTAAGTGAGAGAGGTCCTGAGAGCGCTCCGGACGCTCCATCACCAACAAGAAACTGCTGGGGAGCTCAAACCACTCCAGGAGCTGGATGTCACCGCAAAACCCATTGGAC